TGGTACCGCAAAGGTTATGTGTAAGAACTGCTCTGCAATTCTTGAGCACCCTTACGCTACTAGGAAGGAGGGGGCCGGACAAGGTGAGAGCTCGAGGAAGGATAGTCGTCATGGTACGACAACGATGATTCGCCATATCAATACTTCTTCCTGTCAAAGGGCTGTGAGTGGACGCCGGCAGAGGGATGGAATGACGAGGTTTCTTCAAACGGTATGTAAAGACATATCATCCTTTAAGAATCAACACTACTAACTAGTATTTGAACTAGGGCGATACGATCGAAGAACCTTTCTCGCAAGAGGCATGGGATAATGAAATCCTACGATTCATCACAATCAACCGGCTTCCGTTTAACCTCGTCGAGAATCCAACCTTCCGTCGCCTCATTTCGAGAGCCCAATCCGCCCCAAGCCCTCCGAACGTTCCTTCCGCTGATACAGTTCGACGTCGGCTATCTACCCGTGTTAAAGATCGACAACAAGATACACTCAGGATGCTTCCAGAGCAGGCGAAGATCTCGGTTGCATTGGACTGTTGGACATCTCCATTTGGACACGCATTTATGGCTATCACTGGCTATTTTATCGACGCCGACTGGGTCTACCGCGAGGTGCTGCTCGGCTTCAAACCCCTTCATGGGACGCATTCGGGTGCAAACCTAAGTGCTGTACTTATGAAGACGCTCACTGAGTACGGTATTAAGCACCGAGTCTTTGGATTGACCACTGACAACGCATCAAATAATAAGACTCTGGTTGATACTCTTCAACAGTCTTTGCCTAATGATATCAATGTTATCCGAATCCCCTGTCTTGCCCATGTGATCCAATTGAGTTTAAACCAACTGCTTGATCGTTTAAAAGCAGTCCCACTGAACGATGCCACTGAGATATGGACAGACAGTCAAGTCACCCTTGCAAAGGTAAACGCGGCATCTAAGAAGCAAGATATCTCGCATACATTGAAAAAGGTACGGTATCTTGCTCTTTATATCCGCGGGAGCTCTCAGCGTCGGGACTCCTTCATTGCTATTCAACCCCCAGGGCAAGGGCTTATGCCGATCCAGGATGTTAGAACTCGATGGAATTCAACGTTTCTAATGCTACGCCGGACAAAGAGACTCCGCGTCTTCATTATAAAGTACTGTGATCAGTTTAACTGCAAAGACTTCGCACTTGATGATGATCAATGGCGCCAAATTGACTACCTTCTTTATCTCACCAAGCCGTTCTTTGATTTTACCCTTGCCCTTTCAAAGAGCCGAGAGGTGACATCGCATCTTGTCTTTCTGATCTACAATAGGCTCTTTGAGCATCTTGAGAAATCAATGATACAGCTACGGCGAAAGAGGGTCCTTTGGAAACAGCAGATGCTCAGCTCTCTCGAAGCTAGCCATGCTAAATTACGTGACTACTACAAAGAGACTGATAGAATGCGCGGGCATATCTATGCGGTTTGTACGATGCTATCGCCAGATAGTAGATTCCAGTTCTTTCTTTCTGATGACTGGGCGGATGCCAAAGAACTCCGTGATCAGTATCGAGTGGCGTTCCGAGATGCCCTCACTCCTATCCAGGAACGTCTTACTAGTGCCCAAGGCCCACAAGGGCCTTCCTCTGGATCGGCACCAAGATCACTGCTTCGTAACCTGGCTCGAAAACAGAAGCCTCACTCTAAAGCAACGCCAGGCCCAGTTATGGATGATGAGATGACGCAATATCTCGACGGTAGTAAGTTGAACCCTTCCATTCATATCATGGCTATCTCTATATTCATCTCCATATTCATCTCTATAGCCATCTCTCCACTTGATACTAATTTTATATAGATGTGACTGATTCAGAACCGCTCTCCTTTTGGAGAGAGAATCAATACCGTTTTCCAGCCATTGCTGCACTTGCAAGGGATGTCCTTGCAATCCCCGCAACGGGCGCTGGGGTAGAACGTCTCTTCAACACTGCACGAGATATCTGCCACTATCGCCGCGGTCAACTGAATTCTGATACTATTGAAGAGCTGATGCTATTCCTCTGCACATCAAGGTTTGACCTTGATGTCCAGGAGGCAAAGGAGGTAGCAGAAGACCTCTTATCTGATGAGATTGACGTGTTGAGAGAACAAAATGTTGAGAAACCGAATGATGTCGATGCTGAAGAGATTAGTGACACTGAAGAGCAGGGTGATGGACCTAGTTCTGGGTCTGATGATCTGATCGATGTTGACGATGACGATGAAGATAGGGTTGACGATGAAGATGCTACTATCAGATTCACTGCTGCACCGTCTCAGGTACGGACATCGGGGAGGAAGAGGAAGTATGTTGAGGATGATTTGTATGAACGTTATTAGATTCATGTAGATAGTTTAGCTTCCACTAATATCTAATCAATCGATCTCATCAGTTGATCTTATCAATCTCATTAAACAGTGAATTCAGTCGATTCTCATGAGAACTCAGTCAATTGGGGGCCTCAGACGGTAATTTGAATACTCAAAAATACTGGGAAATTCTACATAACTTATACAAATGCCAAGAATTAGGATGTTTGCACTGTTTGGGGCCCAATGGGCCCCCCAAAAGCCTCATGGGCCCTTACTATAGGCCCACGGCCCATCGGTGGGCCCGAGAACTGGGCCCAAACCCAACCCATTTGGGGGTTGGGCTGGGTTGGGCTTTGGGCTTTATGGGCTCTGCGGAAGTCTAATCGATACCATCTACCTTCCCAGTATCCGGTGGGGATATGATTCTGTTGAAAGATTCGCGAGCTTTGGACGATTGCCTTTGCGAAAAGTTTGATAAACCGCTACTTCATCGAAAATCGTTATCTGGAAATTCACTCTCTGGTCGCCAACTAAGCTTAGATGCATTCTGGATGCATCTACGCGAGCAACCCAACAACACGATTGACGTTTACGACTATACTGTGGCAGACCCTTCTTCAAGAACACGAAGAATGGCAGTCCAGGAAGTTCTATCACATTGGGAGCTTCCTGAGCACGAACGCCATGCAATCAATCTTCTGGATATCGAGAACAGAATTGGTGACTTTTGTCCGACCGAAATAATAAGACACGATCTCTCTAGCAAATTGTCTCGCGCAATTCCAGACAACGTTGGAAAAACGGACTCGCAATGGAGAAACGATCGACGGGAATTCTTTCTGCTTAGCGGAGCAAACGCGATATTCTCCATCCACGTGGATAACGGAGCTCAGCTAACCTGGATTATGATCCTCGAAGGGCGGAAGATCTGGTACTTTCCACGCAAAGTGACGGATGATGCTGTTCGACTACTAGCCCTTGCAGGTTCTCAGTGGTCTCGCGGATATAAAGAAGGTTGGGCAAATGAACCAACCTAATGACGCCCTACATTTGCCGCCACGACCCAAATCACACTGCTATCTCAATAATGTCGTTCTCCATTCTCCTTCTCCATTGCTTGACCTTGTACCTTGTCTGATCCGAACATTGACACATGATGCGTAATCAAGGTTTGCTTCATACCTACCTCTGGTTATAAAGTTCCTAAAAAAGAACTCATATACTGATACGAAAAAAAGCTGGAGAAAGTAAGTACACACGGGTAAAAAGATCATGTCTCTACACAAAAGCTCGCATCTATGCTGAGAGCACGCTCAAATTTATGTGTCAATTCTTGAATTTCCTGTCAGTCGAGTAAGAATCTGAATATTCCTTGAGACTGAGCCAGCTATACGGGAAAGCGAAATATCGAACACAATTCTGTAAGTGAACCTATCCGAGAGACCCTCGGCCGGAAATCGGAGAAAGAGAATTCAATCTTCCACGCTCCAATAGCCAGATCAGAGTCGAAGATAGGCTGAAACATCTCCAGGATGGCTCTTTCAGCTAGGACAGTCCCCTCCACATTCCCGGTTATGGCGGTATAGCTGCGCATGTCATAAAATATATCACACCGAATAAGCACTTCTCTTTTGACCGCTAGAGTAATATGAATGAAGCCACCCATATCAGTTTCTTTGGGCCACTCTTCTAGAAGATGATCATACAATAATCGCCGAAAAAGCTGACCCAATTCGCCGTTCATTGCATAGTAGGTCGAATTTTCCATCATGACCAGGTAAATGTAGGCAGGTGAGAGTGCGTCGGTCTGAAGCTGACCATATCTCTCTCTACATGCTGCCAGGATACTGAGGCAAGGTGTCATAGAATGCCCTCTTGGGTCATTCAAGACTATTATTTCAGGCCTATCAGTATCGAAGTTGACAGGATGATAAGTTTACTCACTATGAGAAAAAGGTTGGAAGAGTGGTCGGAAGTCCATTGCGGGTGACTGAAAGGGACGCAATGTATGCAATGGACGGAACTGTACGAGGGATTTGAAGAGCTGAAGTTTGGGGAACGCTGTGGCACAAATAAAATATCCTTTCTAAGCAATGCACATTCTCGGGCACTCCGAGAATCCCCATGTGCAGGGGACCCCGGTACGGAAAGTCATTTCTTGGTAATTCGAAATGGCGCCAAACAAAATGCAATGGAGAAAATTATCCCTATAAGTGAGATAGGCATGCAGCCATCGTGAGTTCTCAAGCACTCAGTCAGTTATCCAATGAAAGGTGCATGTAATTGGTCTCCACAGTGGCCCTGAACTAGCATCGATCCGCTCCAGGCGAACACAGATAACACGCTATGAAGGGCTAGAAGTATTCCGGCTGCGCAATGGCGCTAAGTTTACATTACTTTTCAGTAAGACAGAAATTTCAACTTTTTGACAGGCTTCGTATTTGGAAGTGGGCCCTTGCTTTTAATAGGTCGGGACAGCCCCCTGTTAGCGTCTGTGATATGGCGATACTACTATTAGAAGACCCATGCCGCATCCAGGAAATACTCTCTTCTTATTCGTCCGTATTCTGGATCAAGGGACCAGGAGCATCTCGAGCATAGCACAAATATTGGACTAACCCATCTTACACCGGAACCATGCTCCAATATTCCAACAGAATTCCGAGCACCTGCTACCATGTCGTTAGATGAAGACTTCTATGTAAGACAATCAATTCTGGATTATCTGCAGTCATATGCTAAACTATGAAGTTTCCTTTCCCAAGAACCAGTTTCCGAGCCGCCGAAACGACTTTAATTGTTCAACAAGTGTGGTTTCTGGGCTCGAAATACCTCAAGCGCGCAATCAAACGACAGCACGAGCCCAATGACAGGACCACATTCTTGACATCTTCCTGCCAGGCACTCAGAAAGTATCCCTACTTGCCCTGGGGAAAACGCAGAGCCTTGGCCAAGAACAGACGGCTGAGGAACTATGCCCACCGTATGGCAGGTGAACTCGCTGTTCGTGATTTGGCTATGCTTTCCCTTCTCGCCTGGCATTTTAGCTCGAAAATGGTGCCTCTACCCCGGAGCCTTATTCAATTCTTCGCCGACCCTGACGAGCAATTTGACACAGTGTGCCAATCTATCCACCTCAGCTACACGAAAATGTGTGAACCGGACACGTTGGCAAGCTTTAAGGAAAGATTGAGGGGACTATTGGGGCAATTAGAATGGCACGTGATCCTAGGCGACGGGATCTTGTATACCTAGTTTGACCACATGTTCGCCTATCCGCATCATACTAGTCAATGAGAAATAATAAAGACAGGTATATATACAATTGCCTGTCCAACCCAACTTCAATCATTGAATCTTATACCACGCTTCCAACTGGTCTTTTACCACTTCCATTTCCTTTGCTCTTCTCCTGATCCCCACCTGTCAAAGATTGCCGCTAGATGAGCGGGACAAATTGAAAGCTTTCTGTCGGTATCTAGATTGCGATGTTAGTTTGCCGTCGGTCGACTAGTTTCTGCAACACTGTTGTTGATTTAGATCTTAATCACGGCCAACCGCATTGCGTCGATTATTTCTCTTTTTGCGACTGTTTTATCGTCAGTCTCAACACATAGGGCTTGCGTTTGGGTGAAAAGACTCACCACAATTGTCAAGTACAAACTCAACAGAGAAACATTTGTCGTATGAGCGGCGTCCTGGGCCCTCTCCCAAAGGAAGATCACTTTCATTTATTTGAAACCCGATAGGAATCCGGTAGCATCGAAGGAATTCCGGAAAATCCTCCTTCGTGATTAGACCAAGACCTTTGTGGATACCGTCCCCATTCCCTTCGCCTTCATCTCCTTCCACTCCCTTTCGACAATGACGGTAGCATGCCTTTGGATCTGAAAAGAGCTGAAAGCACCGCGGACAGATATATTCCAAGCCCGTTTTTACCAGAGCTTGCATCAAGATTGCGAGCCGCCTTTCCACGTCAGACATCTTGAAGCAAAGTGAATAGAAGCTAATAAATGAAGCTAGTTTGTTCCGAACGGGAAACAGAAGGCTGTCAGTTCGACGAAGTCTCAGACTTTATAGGTGAGGACCGGCTCGCCAACGCATCTCCACAGATCCAAAGTCTACTAGATGCAATTGCTGGATAGAACTAGCGGTGGGGACGCAAGTAGAATTTAATCAAGATTATAATATCAAAGCCTTCAGCCTCGACTGACGTGGCCCTTGGCTTAATTATCCTTCCAACATAGGTTCTAGTATACAGCCGCTCTGATTCATCGGCCATATAATTCAGATTAACTGCATGATGGCACTATCTAGGGTATGGAGAAGCTGGGCGAATCAGGAATAATTGAAAGCGTGGTCTTCAGGCAAGGGCTCGCTAACTCCTTTGGAGGCCTCGGCTTGCAGGAGATCACGTCCAATCGAAGATTTAATCAGCTCTGTCTGCGAGGCCCAATAGTGCTCAAACCACAACTCCTGCATAAGATCCTTTGTGCCCGGGATCTCCTCCGTTTTCCTGATTTCGCGCTGCATATGGTAAACATTGGTACTTCTGCTATCTACCAGTTGTCCAAGTATGCGTATGCGCAGATTACCGACATTGAAGTTCGAACTAGACTGTTGTTTCTATTTATTATCCGTTAGAGCCATGGATTGGAAGATGACTGAATGCAACAGTTCCGGGACACTCACTGCAAGCTCGTCAAGTTCTTCTGCAGAAATCAATTTGACCGAAGGTCCACGATGCGGTGCCGAACACTGATACACCACTTCTGGATCAATGGTTATTATGTTGCAGTCCAACTTATCAAAGAAGCATCCAAACCTTGAAGGCCTTCCTGTGACTGCTTCCTCGCCCTGCAGCATCCAAGGAGTTCGATAAAACGAGACCAGAGGGTATTTGATATACCCATATTTCGCACAAGTCTCTAGGTATTAGGATGAAAAAGATATAGAACCACGTAGGGAAACAGCACAACACTGAATTGAAGCATATGCGACGCCGAGACCGTAAATATATGCAAGATTATATACTCTTCGTACCAATGTCACATACACTATGCACTACCCCAGTTCTCATCATTAGCTACGATCGTCCTACAGGGGCTGGTTGCACCATCTTGTTTGTCGTATGGGGTCAGACTTTCAGAAGAATTTCTTTCTTGGAGGTCAAATCAAATTTTCGAGATAGGATTAGCTGGCACGTAGAAAGTCTAGACTTTAAAGATTATACTGCCATATTGGCGATCCTTGCGCAATTGTGATTGAATAGATCAGACTAGTGCTGGTGAATATTGTCATTAGCCATATAATTTTTGTTTGGCTGCATGGACGCAAATCTAGAACAGATCAAAGCTAATCATTCAGTCTCAGGTTCATTGCCACCAGATTGACCTTTACAAAGTGCAGTTTGCTTGACTTATCCTAGTTGCATCGATTGCATGTGACACGTCATGATGTGGATCAACCGCACGGTTTGTAATTCTAGAGCATGGAGCCAGGAAAATCAGAAACAGGCCATAATGTGATGATTCACAGCCACGATGACGGCCTATCTACTCCATCCACTCCATCCACTCCATCCACTCCATCCACTCCATCCACTCCATCCACTCCATCCACTCCATCCACTCCATCCACTCCATCCACTCCATCCACTCCATCCACTCCATCCACTCCATCCACTCCATCCGCTCGTTCTGCTCGTTCTGCTCGTGCTCTGCAGTTTCCGTGTCGAAAGACTTTGTAGTTGCCGCACTATTAGTTGCAATTTCGAGATATTCGTTGGTCCAATTAGGATATGAATCAGAATATGTGGTATGAACTATGGACACCCGTTGTTGACGCTCTATTTTCACATTCGGACCTTACTAGTTCACTTCTGCTACAACCAATGTCAGGCCTACCTACTGCTAAAGGAAAACTCTCATCAAGCCGGCCCAGAATTTGTGCAGTACATGTCCTCGTTATCAATATCACAATCAGACTATGAAAGTGAGCTCATCTGCATTGTTTTATTGAGGTGATTAGACATCATCATGTCGCTGCAAAGCCTTCGCTGCAAAGACCGGAGATTTACTATGAAGGTGGGTCGGAAGATTAGAATTGGCCGCAGTCCTAGGCTCTTGTAATATGACGTGGGGCAACCCCATCGGGCACCAACAGTTGTACCCCTCTGCGCGCCCGCGAAAATTTGCTTCGCGCTCATTTCGGCAGCACCGTAAAACTTCGGCCACGGACTTATCCATTTGTATAGGGCTACACCCTGTTATATGGACACGACTGAATCTGTAAGCCTTCAAATCAGATTTTACGATCAACGGCCCACCCTGGCATCTCGCGCCGACTTATCACCCGCACCAGAAGATTTCTTCAAATAGCCGATTCTTCATTTTCTCGTCCGGTTTCGTTCAGGTATCCGAAAACTTCTTATCTGGACCGAAGAGTGAGAGGCGTCGAGCAATATTATCTCTCTGTCAAGAGGTTGGGTTTTACATGCAACCAGGCTCGGTAACTCAGTACATATAAGTCAAACTGTGACCGTAAACTCACTCTAGACTCAACAGAAGTCAAAGAACCGGATCATGGCAGATGGCAGTATGGCAGACCTTGTTGATGGAAAAATGAATCCTAATGAGCCAGTATGTGCTACACCTCCACGGTGGTGTCGCTGAGCTAATATGAACTAAACAGACTATTTACGATGTGTGGAAGACAGCAGATGGGATATTCGAAGGAGAGCCCGTTTCAAAGACAATTACGTTTAAATTGAAACCCGGAGAAACAGAAGGATGGGTAAAAGTCACGGGTGGCGAGGAAGCATTCGCAACCAACAGCCCGAACACTTTTTCTGTTCCCCCAAACCATCGTTGCGAAGTGTTGGGTTGCATAGTCAAGTTCACTCGAGCTTGAGTTTCGTCATGTTGAATTTGTGTATCGAGTGCACTAGTCTGTCACGGTTGACCCTTATGGTGCATGAAGCATCTTGGTGCTGATTTGATGGGATGAATATAGTCACGCAGCCGGTGGTATCGCCTCCCTGTGCTCCTTCTTTGGCCCATTGTTCACTAGTAACGACTCCCTGTAGCATTTCGTTCATGAATATCTCGATGCTATCACGAGCAACAAGCGAGTAGGCTAATTGAATCTCTGTCATAGGTTAGTGGATATATTATCCAGAAAGTATTGAGTATGCTCACGCCTGGCTTCTGGTGCAGAAAACATGGATTTCATGAAGCTCAGGTAACGTCGCTCGGTAGCAAAGCCCTGTTCAGCTGCCGTGGACTCGAAGAATCTTTGTGCTTTCGCGTTGAGCTGAAACTGAAAAGTGACGTAGGTTTCAAGGCTCATCAATGAATTTAACACCAACTGGAACGCAGGCGAAATACAGACAGTGGGTGGGACGACCAGTACCACAGCAAGAAAGAGATGGTTGCTTGCGTCCTGAATCATACTGTAGATGTATCGAGAACGAGATTGTCGGGACTTTGTTGCGGACACCGCAGGAATGATCTCGTGCGGTCGCCAAACGAAGGGTAGACGAGCTCTTAGAAGCTCCCGGTCTTCGAAGGTGAGTCCTTGTAACTGAAATTGTGTAATCTTATTGTTGATTTGTTGGCTGAGTTGCTGGGCCCGGTCCCCAGCATCCAGAGACGGTGGCATTTTGAACGAAGTGGAATGGATGGGATGGAATGGATGGAGGGGATGGAGGGAATGGAGGGGATGGAGGGAATGGAGAGGATGGAGGGAATGGAGAGGATGGAGGGAATGGAGGGAATGGATGGAGGAAAAGGGGGGAAAATTCTTCCCATTGGCTGGCACATGCTTTGGTAAGCGGTTCACGTCATAAGGCAAGGGTCCAGGGACATACCTTGGCTCTGTGTTTATTGGCTGCAAGTGAGGGGCGCATTATCGTCCTAGTGCGGCGAGAACATTAGCTGAATATATCCCCAATCACGGGCTCGCTTTCTGGAGACACTGGTGCTCTTGTCGCATTAGAGCATGCAATTTCACATGTACTAGTTCACAGGCTTTCTCTAGTAATCGCGAACAAATGGTACTTTGGTTTTCTCCGCGGGGCTGATCAAAGCCCTGGACCAATTATACTTGCCCGCGACCACCTTGGGTGCTCCGATAATAGTACTTACGACTGACTTGTGATAGACCAACTTATAGTCAAAGCGGACTGTGCACGTTTGGTAAAACGTATAAGACGAACATGTTGGAAGGGATCAGGATATGAGAAAATCGCAAACAATCATCCTCCCAGTAGTACTCAATACCATACGTATCCCTCGCCAGAAAGTTATAATTATCGGAAAAGGTTGGGCCCCTTTCTATTGATTTTAACGTCCAATACTAACGGCTCTACATGCTGCAGATGTGCAAGTGGAACGAAATGTTGTTCCGATGCGGGCATCTCGATCGATATGCTTTGGTCGAAAGACATACCCCGAACGCGACCTGTCAACCATCTACTCAAAGCCCGCGGCAGGAGATCACTCCAGTCATTGGCGAGAGCCTCTGTCCTGCGTGTAATTATCCATCTCCAGCTAGTAGTGACATGGTCCCTTAGGTGAGTGATACTGCAGATTCTTCCCTATTGCTCCCCGGATCACGAGCTTACTATGTGGGTGTCTCAGTTGCGGTTATTAGTCCCCTCAGCTCTGTGCTGCAGTTCGCCGTTGCCGCTGAAAACTTGATTGGAGGTTGATGAGGAGCCAACGGTTCGCAACACCGGCGCATCAGAACTTTGGGAAGCTCAATTAAACAAGATTCCACGAGGAGGCAAGGTGTGTCGGTCATATTCATCTTTCTACTCATTTTCAGTGGGGGGATTATATGCGAGTGGATGTATACCGGCTGTCGCACGCAGGAGGGTTATCACCGCTTCACGCTCGTTCAATAAACGTCTTTTTATACCTTTAGTCTACTGCTGTAAATGTAGTGTGTAATTTCTCAATTTCCAAACAAGGATGTTGAATATTTCGCAGATTGATACATCATACCGCTCGTATGGCAGGGTAAGAATTCTTCTAAGCTCAATGCATAAATTGGTGCGTAAACAACGGACAACTTGACTAATCTTCACCGCCTGCGTTGGTCCGTGCATAACGCCCTTTGTTATAAATGCACTTGAGACAGGGCAACACCTGAGACTCTTGTCAACTATTTCTTCTCACACGTGATCTTTCTGAAAGTGAAAGGCCGCCACTACGCTTCATGGAGAAAGTAAATCAGGCTGTGTCCGACGCCCTTGAAACGCATCGTTCAATCCGAATCCTGGGTGACCTGCCTACCGAAAAGCTGAACCACGAAGATTATCTGGCCTCGACGCGTGAATTAATCGAAAGCTTCGTCGATTCTTGGAAAGAAAAAGCGGATTTGCGGCTTTTGGCGGTGGAGGTTTGGCCGCGACACACCTACTTTGCACTCGATTTCAACAATGACGAGTACAATTATGACAACGCCCATACTCAAGTGGTAGTCATACCTGTCTACCTGCTTCGGCTGTCCAGGAAAAGCCATGCCTGGGCAATATTTCGACACAAGCCCCAAGACTCATCGCTCGCCAAAAGAATTGCGGACCTACATGAAGGCAATGGACAGAATCCCATTCCCTTCCTAGAAGACCACATCAAAGGCGTGACGCATTATGCCCCTCGGAATAGCAAAAGCCCTGTCGTTGCATCAGAGAACCCTACGTGAAAAAAGAGCCCACTTCCACACAATGATTTAGTATCTGAGATCCTCATTATCACTCGTAATGAGCTGATCAAAAGAATTGGATGACTATTATGGAGGGTTGGGAGAAAGACTCGACTATTTATCGCATATACGTGGATGTGTTTGCTTTGCCTCTTGGATGGTTAGTTAGTTTAGAGACTCACAAAAGGAACTTGAAGGATTCATATAGACGATGTCATTCAAATGAATATCCGGTCCCGAAACCCTGCAGAGATGGACTCAACAAGTAGCCAGACACTGTCGTCAGTCTATACAGATCAATTGAGCCTTGTACATACATGTAATAGAGGGGAGCATCTGACAAGCAATTAGGGGGTGTCCAAACTTTGGAGATGCCACTGTAGATCCAAACGAACGAGAGCTGCACATACAGTACTGTACCATATAATATACAATCCCTGCACCAAACGATCGTATTGTTGACGTCATAGCACTTAAGACTTCTTTTAATGGCAGATATAATAAAATGATATATGGTAAATCGAGTTAAGCTTGCTATTCACTTATATGAAGCTACATCAATCATGGGGTTTCCAAATCTTCAACCAATCTTGCAAAGCCTTCTGGTTCCAGGTATATCGTGCGATAGTCTGTTCCCAATCACTCTTTTTTGACGCTGCAGTCAAGGGAGGGTTCAAAGTAAATGCGATAGATATCTGTCGTGATCGCTGCATATGGCTAATTTTTCTATAAGGAAGCTTCTTTATCACAGGTTGATCTACCAGATGATGAGGTAGCAACTATTCAGCGCTCGCACTTTCAAAATCGGAAGTGCGCTTCTGGTAATGATATGGAACCTCATGCAACTATGTGGAACAAGCTTGGAGTTTTCACGGCGGCCGACAAGTTTCACATTTCGTGTTGCGAGATCTGGAATTATGAATTGGATCGAGGTACTATAAACGCAAGGAGATTTCCATTGATTGTGCAAGAAATCTTAGAGCTAGAAGCGCATGTACCATATATCCGCCCGCGTGTTAGATAAGCAGTAGAAAGAGATTCAGTAAAAGAAAAACTCTAAAAAGATATGGTGAGCAGAGGTAAGGTTACAGTAGCAACGTAACGGTGTTGAGACAGCTGAGACAGTGTACCTTTAACAACACCTATTAGAATATTCGCAACGGACGGTAAACGGTGGATGAACAGCAAACGGTCAAGAACAACCAGTCAAGAGCAACCGGTCAAGAACAGAGTAAGGGGACTTAACCGGCGGGCTGCCCAACAACACTTAACAAGCGAGACTTCTATCTACTGTGTCGAGTTAAGAGTTTTTTGAACGTCCGGGTAAAGCGAGCCTAGTTGTCCCGGCGAGCGGCATTGGTGAACTAATTGGTGGTCATGGATAACTTCGTCATAATTATTCCCAGCGAGCGTAAGTATCTCCCGCATTCTCCTTATCTCAGCTTCGGAATTCTCAGGCGGATCGTAACGACTCAAGATAGATCGAAAGGTGAGGTTTTGATAAAAGTGGTTAAATACTGTGCCAATAGCAGGTCAGCGAATCTGCCTTAACATGTCAATTGGGTTTCAATACCACCTTCTGCTTCTGGCCTGTGTCCTTGGGCCTCTGCCGTAGGCGACTGGAACTGCATTGCTTCTGACATCACCATTGAGGGTTGTTGAGCCTGCCCCAACATGCTATTCGAATTAGAGGAACACTTTGCTTCTTGTCACTAGCTAACACCCAGGTCAAGTACCGAAGTTTGGCTCTTCCTAGGGAGGTTCAAGGTTCTGCTCCTCGAAAGACGAGAAATTCGTCTTTCTCTTTCCGTGGACAAAAGTACGACCGGTCAAAGCTGCCTAGCCAAAAATACATATTCACTTTGTTCAGCACGGTCAACTTTATTCAGCACAATACGCTGTAGCAGGTTCCTGAATAATCAAGTATCGGCAATGCTAACTTGCAGATTGCACTTGCCTTTCCTCTCCCAGATTACTCGGCCATTTCACGTGCGACTATCTTAATAACCCCTGTGTCTCCAGCTCTTGTGAAATGCCCACAACTTAATGTGTTATAACGGATCGCGGTAATGTATCAACCTTCGGACAAATTTCGTAATTGCTTTTTTCAGGATACTAATCGGTCTTGATTCGTTACACGTGTGGTGACTCACCCCTGAAAGTGATAATTATTCCCAGCGAGCGTAAGTATCTCCCGCATTCTCCTTATCTCAGCTTCGGAATTCTCAGGCGGATCGTAACGACTCAAGATAGATCGAAAGGTGAGGTTTTGATAAAAGTGGTTAAACATTGTGCCGATAGCAGGTCAGCGAATCTGCCTTAATCGTGCCAAGCCCACCAACACCTACCGGTATTGGTGGGCTTCACCGGATAACAAATTTTCACCGGATCACAAATTCTTCATTTTTTATCAATTTTCTACCCATTTTATACCACAACACGATGTCAGAACAAAATGAAAATATTGAGATGAGAACTCTACAGGCCGCAGAAGCCTACTTCCAAAGCGATAAGCCTAATTTAGCTAAATTGGCGCGAGAATTCGCTATTCCCTACAACCGACTACGCGGGCGCGTTAGTGGACGGAAGTCCAATTCCACCATTGCTAGTCAAAGTAAGGCATTAAACCCGATGCAAGAAAAAGCATTGATATCCTGGATCCAAACACTACGCCATTCATATACTGCAAATACCGCCGATCTCATTGAGCGCTCTGCAAACCAGCTTTTAAAAGATGCTGGTTCCGATCGGCAGGTTGGCCGCAGCTGGGTATACCGATTCATCAATCGCCTACCCCTAGATATCCGATATATTAGCCCTAAACCTGCTGAAAAAGCAAGGGCTGATAGCGAGAATTATGGCGAATTACTCCTATGGTTTAATAGCTTTGAAAAGGTTATTAAACGATATGGATTTAAGAAAAATGAGATCTTCAATTGGGATGAAACCGGCTA